CATAATTGTGTTTGCCTCACTCGACGTACCATACACAGTGTAAGGATCCTACCAGTGAGGACATAATCTTAGTTGTGTCTCTCTGTGTGAACCATGGATCCTACCAGTGAGGACATAATCTTAGCTGTGTCTCTCTGTGTGAAACATGGATCCTACCAGTGAGGACATAATCTTAGCTGTGTCTCTCTGTGTGAAACATGGATCCTACCAGTGAGGACATAATCTTAGTTGTGTCTCTCTGTGTGAACCATGGATCCTACCAGTGAGGACATAATCTTAGCTGTGTCTCTCTGTGTGAAACATGGATCCTACCAGTGAGGACATAATCTTAGTTGTGTCTCTCTGTGTGAACCATGGATCCTACCAGTGAGGACATAATCTTAGTTGTGTCTCTCTGTGTGAACCATGGATCCTACCAGTGAGGACATAATCTTAGCTGTGTCTCTCTGTGTGAAACATGGATCCTACCAGTGAGGACATAATCTTAGTTGTGTCTCTCTGTGTGAAACATGGATCCTACCAGTGAGGACATAATCTTAGTTGTGTCTCTCTGTGTGAAACATGGATCCTACCAGTGAGGACATAATCTTAGTTGTGTCTCTCTGTGTGAAACAAACCATTGATCCTTATAGTGATGACATGGTGTTGCTTGTCATGTGTCTCTGTGTATAGAACCAGTGTTCGCAATAAGCGCCTGTCCGTAAGCACGTGGCAGGTAGAATTGGTGTCGGAGTTCCAAATTTGAATGGGTCCTTATGACCTGCAGTAAATGTACACGTCGATTTATTTGTCACAATAAGGTGAAGTTTTTAAAATGTGTTTTTGGCTTGTTCTTCCCACTCACTCGAATGTCTGTCACCAGCTATGAGTGACCCCCATCCCATCAGACACGATCAGTGAAATTGAGAAATCACTGAAATTTTGAAAATCATGTTTAATGTAGAAAGTAACATAAATGTTCAGGAAATTCTTTTGTATTCTTTGACTCAGATATTAAGGTTCTGAAAGAGTTTCGTCATGGCCTCTTAATGTCTGTTGGTTCTAATGGCAGCCTGGCAATTTATTTTATTTCAAACATTGTGGAAGACAGTTAGAAAATGTCTTTATTTTGCATTTGGTCTGTTGTACTCTTTTGGTTAGAAAAAATGGAGCCTTTTCCTCAGGTTGGGAGGTCTGTTTGACTTGCACCAGAAATGTCTGATGTCATTGCAAACAAATCTACCGGTAAGCCTTTTTAACATCAGTGATGCATTCCAAAGCTGTTATCGGAAGTTGTGGGGGAGGACATTGTGTTATTTGTGTGGCTATGTGTGTGACACAACAAGGATCCTGCTAGGGAAGACATTGTTTTATTTCAGAGTCTGTGAAACTACAACGTTCCTACTACAAGGGACGACATTGCGTTAGTTGTATATGTCAGTGTGAAGTTATATGGGGGTCCTACTAGCGAACACATTGAGTTAACTGCGTGGCCCTGTGGTTAGCTGCAAGGGTCCTGCTAAAGTATTGTAGGAAATGCTAGAAAAATGTTTTGTTGTGGCTTAATTTAATAAATACGAGTCAAAGGGCTATGAAAATAGTATATATCAAAGTAACGCAAATTGACCTAATCTAGCCTATCCTTACTGACACTGTGATAACCCTTAAAATGTACTTTTACAGGTAAAATGGTGATAAACTTAGCAAATATTCGTGTTTTCATGCATGTAGGAAGCGGCCTTTTAACCTGAGGTAATTACCTAACACCTGTCCCGACGAGACCCGTGCATTCTCACAGGTGCAAATGACACCTGAGTTGGGGGTGGTCTCAAAATATTGCTGTTATTGTACTTAATTGACTTTAGTTGATGGGGTAGCAAATTAGGATATGTACTGGATTATATTTGCTTGGATAAAAGATAGAATAATTAAAAGCTATTAAACGGGATGTGTACTGGATGGTTGCTGTTTTGGAATCAAGAAGTATTTGTTTTTCTACAGATGATTTCTCCGCTGATGACGTATATAAATCTGTACTATTACCCAAATGTATGACAACTGGTTCAACAAGGCTGATAGCTAGCAAAAACTGCGTAGATATTCCCTTTGACATGTGTGAGTTTGAATGTTGTGTTATGTCTTGCCACGAACCTTGTACAGTCAGCCAAGATAGGCTCAACGGGGTTGAGATCACGTCTGACTGGCGTACGTCAGACAACGTGACCGTGTTGTGCCGCCAGCACATATCTTGTACTTTACTGGTTTCATATTCAGCCGAATTTTCTCCATGAACTTTCGTTTAAGATGGTCTGAAGTCGACAATGTCATATATACCTTTATGGTCGCATTCAGACTACTCGTGGTTGGCGCGAGTGTATCTGGTTCCCGGACGTTGTATTAACTGGCGTTCTCCATGACTATGATACTGAGGTTGTTTAAAACGGGTAACAGCTGATGTTCCAACCAGTCAATGAATACATCTCCTATAATTTCCTTATGGAAATCACCAGTTTTCACCTCGAAAACTAGCACACATCCATCAATACGCCTCAGATCACGGGTTGCGGCGTGCAAAACAATGACACGATTAGCTTTACCTGATGGTACCATGAGTGCTATTTGTTCATCTGCCGATAGCAACATAGGCAGTGGAATGATTCATCAAGGTAACTGATCTGGAAGCCCTGACTATGATAGTTATGAATGGTGTGGAGAGATAATGTTACCCCATAGACAGAATAGAATATTTCCCCCTGAAAACTGCTCGGTCATCGGGGGTACCTACTGCTCATAAAGCTTGTACACTATGCACCTAGTCATCCTGTATGAAAGCTGTATAATATCCTTTTACGTCCCGGTTTTGTTTTCGAGACCACCCCTATACCTTTTCAGTTTTATCTATCAAACCGTCGACTTAAAAAAACATAGCTTGTGCAGATGGGTAATTTACCATATCTAAACTAATAAATCGCCCCCTCTATCTCTCTTAAGTGTAAAGAACTTGTATGCATTTCCTAGTACGGACTCCATGTCGTGTTCCGTGGGTATGGCCATGCAAGTGTAATGTAACATGCACCATGGGAGCAGTGTTGATAAAACAAACGCAGCGTCATTTTGTTATTTTAGAAGATGCACATCTAGAATTTTCTCCATGTGATTTATTTTGTATTGATTAGATTTTTCGGAAGACTACATTATTATCATTAGAACAGAGTCACGTGCGCACATTTCTATAGTCCGTTTTAGACTGCCATCATTGGACTTGGAATAAATCCAAACTTACTGTTTTCTCCTGTAAAATTGTCGATAGGACGCCTTGTGACCGAAATACTTCAAACCACAGGTAGGTCGATCGGTAGTTACTCGATATTTCCATAGCAACAGTCTGTGAAAAATCTATCCTTTTAACGAGCAAAAGCATTTCCGACAGTACTCAATGGAGACTTGTATTTACAAGCACAAATACTGCTTTATTTAGTTGTGTTGTGCTCACTCTGAATTTAGCTACAAAATTATTAAATGAAGAGCTGTAAAATATCCTTTGCACGCCATTTCTGCTGAAAAACGGGTGAGAGGAAATGTGTTTTAAAGTTGCATTCAAGACGATTGCACTATTTCAGCAAGGTGTATGGGTTGTATTCACGAAAATGGCGGCGTCCTCCCTTCGCACATGGTTGACCAAAAATACTAATACGGGCTCGCCACATTTCAACTCCAATGCCCATTTTTGCGTCCGACCAATGCTTTTATGTCTAAGGTGGCTTCTCTTTCAGAATGGACCGTGTAATTCGTAAATTTCATTCAATTTTCACAATTTCTTCGGTGGTCTCAAAATGGAACCTGGAGTGGAACGAGTTTGCAAAGCATGTAAATCCAATTATGTTGAAGATGGGTACCATCTTATTCTAATATGCAAATGTTACGAGATTCTGCGGGGCAGAATTTATACCAAGAAAATATTATGAATTTCCAACAAGGCAAAAGTTTAACATTTGAATGTCATTCAAACAACTGTACAAAGTCTATGTTCATTGTTCAATCCATACATCTCAGGCAATCTTTGTTTAATACATGAATGTATGCATGTGTAGTCGTGGCTGCTTGTAGTAATTAGCCTTAAGCCCCTGTTATAGTGCTAGTCCACTGAGACACATTGCAACAGGTTAACACAGATACAGACACATCATACTCGGACATATAAGACAGTCTTTGAGTCGCCCAGTCTTTGTTTTATCCTCTTACTGCAGAACGCCAGACAGGCACAAGTACCACCTTTTTATATGGTGTAATGGCAAGGTGAACAAACTCCGACCTTCCCCTCTCTGGGTGCTTGGAGGACAGATTGGACCGTGACCAAGGCTATTACATATCCCTGGCGTATCATCAATTCCTACCTGTGTATATACTTGTCAACCATACTCTGTATATCACTTGCTTGGTAACTTGTTAAATCCTACACCGAAACGTCATTCTTAATTGTAATAAAGAAGTTTAACTTCTTTGATAGGCATTTAGAAGTTGGAGTACTAAGTAAGGATAATGATTTATGGATGCACAACTTCTTTATTACAATTAAGAGCGATTCGGTGTAGGTTCTAACACCGTTATCAAGCAAGTGATAACAGTGTTAGAACCTACACCGAAACGTCGCTCTTAATTGTAATAAAGAAGTTGTTCATCCATAAATCATTATCCTTACTTAATAAAGAAGTTGTTCATCCATAAATTCTTATCCTTAACTAGTTGGACAGGTGGTTCCCTTTTCTGTCAACTTCTATGTTTGTTCTCTCACAAAACTTTTCAACAGATTAAAAAACATTATATATTTTTTATTCAACTAGATTTTGTTACAGCTTACAAAATCTTGTTATGACTAATGATATTCAATTATGTGCAAACTTATTTCAGTATTTTCAGTTTGTATGTATTGTAAAACTGTGACTCTTCATGTCTGTCTGTTTGAATAAAGACACTGAACTTGTTTTGAAACAGTATTTGAATAAACTAAACGACAAACACCATTGAAGATGTGAAAGTATTTAATCTTTAACAGTGAAAATGAATAAAGATGTTAAGCAATCTGAGAAGTTACTGTCTAGTCCATCCCAAATCTCACACTGAACATGGCAGTTCCATCAAGTCTTGCTGTCAGGTTAGATTCAGTAAATTGTCTTTGTAAAAATTGTCATCACAGTACCAAGAGACAAAGAATGTAAACCTCGTGATATACCAGTAAATAACAAACAAATAAAGGTGTGATAAAGACCACACAAAAAAGTATTATAGAAGTCCGGCTGATGGATCAATGAAATTTGGCATGGATTTGCTAATTAATAGCTGTCTGCATTGTAACATTACAGAAAACATTGCAGATCAGCTTGGCTCAATTATGTTATTGTTACAAGCAATTTGGTGAGTGATTGCACATCACTGCAGTTCATGTAATTCAGCAGTGAAGATTCAGACAACACACTGAACACAACAAACCATCAGCTCTGCAACTTCACCAAGACTGCTGTCATGCTGATTGGACAGAAACACAGAAAAGTTTGTCACCACTCAGTGGGAGGAAGTCACAAGGCGTTGCAGGTCAGACATTTACCCTTTAATGCTACAAACAAGCATGAATGCATGCAGACAGACAAAGAATCATAACAAGTGTGAAACGGGAATGTCAGATCCTGTCAATGCTTAGGGACGCAACTCTGCACAACAATTTTGATCTCTAAGCCTCTTTCATCCCTTCCAACATTAATAACATAATACACAAATCATCAAGGTAAGACTATTAAATACATAATTGTCATAAAAGACAGGAATACTTCACTGTCTACAGAACCTGACCACCATGTTCAGAGTGAGAGTTTGGTAGACATACTAGAAGCGTATGATGTCTGACATGTGTCAGTTCTATATTTCCAGCCTGATGATGACAAATGAACTGCATATCACATGGAAGAAGTTGTTGACACTGAGAGAAAGAAACTGACACAGAAACCTCTACACTATGTCTACAGGACAATTTTAATATCAACATGATTGTGACATACATACCGGACAAAGCTTAACAACTGTAATGAATGATTCTGAAAATGATTCTCTATTTATAATATGTATAGGATGTGTAACACAAAGAAAGAGCACATATCAGTAATTTCATACAGTTCATTTATTCCACTAAGTGAAATGTTCGAGAGAATATATCAGAATGTTTATGTTCTGCAATACCGTTGTTTACATGAGATACTCATTATATTATTGGTAATTTAAACTTCAAAATCTCTCCAAAATTTCACAAAGTCACTGTAACAAATCTCATGGTTGTCCCTCATCATCAAATCAATGTTTGCAACCAACAATCACAAAATTCCATAGTACAGACATATGATTTGCATGTTTATAATACTTCAATAAACTCAACCACATGCATATTATTGGGGAAGATATCTAACAACTGTGTCATATCTCATTTTCAACTCCAGAATTTTAATTCCAATATCAATTGTACAATATTTAAAATGTTCAAAAGTATCAAAATCTATTCAAACTGCTTTACTTGTTATTTAAGCCATAAACTATCAGCAGTAATTGTTACAAGTAGAATTGAGCCAAATTCGTCACTGACAGCATAAAAACACATTTTTCTCAAAGCAACATACAGTTTAAGTGCAAGACTTTTTTGCTGTAGTTTTTGTCCATACTGGTACATTAAAATTTACACTGAAGATAAATAATGTATTGAAATAGATTCGATGAAACAAAACATTACTTGATAATAATGTGCAAATATTCGGCATAAACGCTGGTCCGTCATACGTCACCTTGGTGATTCACCACCATCAACCAAAATAAAACATTAGTTATTAGGCATGGACATGTCAACATGTTATCTACATTACTTTGCTATTTCTATGGAATCAATGTGCTATTTATATGTTAGTGGTCCTTAATTCCCATTCTTACCTTCCACATAAGCTTAAACCTCAACACATTGCACAAAGCTGATCAAAATTGATGCTCCAACTGTTGTTTCACCTGCACAGGAAAATCTACTGATATTTCATTTTTTTCTTGACTAGAAGTAATGGACAGAGGTTCTGATGCCAATGTCCCATAACATATAGACATCTAAAGCAGAGAGAATTATATACAGAAATTTTATATTAAATCTTTCACAAGAAAGTTATTTTTATCTGAATCCAGAAAGGACACATGAAGGTTTCCATACAAGAGAGATGTTAACGGCATGCAGAAACAACATTCACATCAGTACTTTACTCCATGCATGCTGACATCAAACCTTTGTGGCCACACTGAGATAATATATTAAGTATTGGAATGTAGAGTTATTTCCCTTAGATCACTAAATCCCTTAAAAGTTGCAAACTGAAGGGGCAAGGTGCATGTTTAAATCACATATATATTGACTAATAATTTGTAAAAGCCAGTTTGCTCAAATGCTCAAAATAAAATGATGAGAGATATAATACATTATTGGCATATACTTGCCAGGTAAAGACTTTGTTGGTACATTTTTTGGTACGGAAGAAAATAACAACAAATTGATTAAGAAGTAGCAATAATTAAGGAAAGTCCAAGAGCAATGACAGATTTCCATATATGACAATTAATATGGGATTTGAAACAAAGGAAGAAGGTCTTTGACCATCAAGATGTCTTTTTCGTTTATGATTTTGGCTCTTTTGCCCTGACTTCCTTTACCCCTTATTCCCACTGATGACAGATGACTGAATTATGAAAATCTGGCCTGCATTTCATAAAAAACTATATACATAATTTTGTAGTTAAAAGAAAATCAATTGTTGATGTCATATTATTTACAATATTTAATGACCGTTAAACTATAAATAGTCTTAAAATGTTCATATTTCATCCTAAACATGACTTTGTGACCAGTTCCATATATCCTATACACAATTTCATCACATGCCATGTACACAGGTGTCAGTAAATCATCCAAACTGCTTAATTTTGATTGAATATTCCTTGATCGACAAATGAACATAAAAGAAACAAGAATGTTATTCACAAGAAACCACTGGAGAACCAATTTTCACCACATCTATAATCTTGACTGTTCTTGGAGTTTCTCCCTTTAGCACTTGAAGGTCGAGATACAGTAGAGAATCTGCTTGCAGAACGCAGAATCTCTGACCAGTTGACGGCAGCCCGTTGAGCAGGTGAGAGACATGGACCCATCACTGATGTCGGAGTATTTTTGTTGCTCGGTCATTGGCGTTATCAACTCGGACATTCAACGACCCTGCCTAAAGTGTTGAAAATGAAGAAAACACAAAAGAAACTGAGAACAGACAACAAAACATAAAACAAACGATAGTGATCAAGAGAAAAGAAGACCCAGAAAAATCACAAATCAACAGAGAGTGAGCATTCCTTACTAAATTACTACAAAACAATACAACCATATTTCCCTTTCAAAACCAAACCATTCCATCATTTTTTCATTTCAAAACTGAACAGGCACACTGAAGCAGCATTGAAAGATTTGAATTGATTTACAAGAAAAGTGACCTCAACTGGTGTTGGTTTATAAAGGAAATATAATTCCACTACACCAAGTCATGCATAGTAATGAGATTCTAGCCAAGACAAATAAATACCTACTACAAAATACCATCAATATGTTCATCCTTAACACAGCTAAATTAGAATGAACATGGCATAATTTGATCATTAAACTAATGCCTTAAGAGCTAATGATGAAGTCTCAGCTAATCAACAATGATTTGACTACATTTCTTTACTCTATTAGCAACATTATTATGCTTAAAACATAGCATTACCAGCAGAAGAGAAATACATTATATTTCTATACAAAGTTGACATCAATGTCCATCAAGAAAAACAATCCTAATGAATCATTATGATTATAATGCTAACATGAATTACTTCCTACTTCCTACTTCCTAAGATCAAATCTTACCACATACAATCCTAACATATTGTCTTGGCTAGTTTCAAGCAAATATGTTTCTCTTCAAAAATGAGGGTGATGAAAAGCTCATCCCATGGTTATGAAATGTGTTTTTGCAAACAGTTTCAGCCAAATGATTCTCTAGATGGTAAGTGTGGTTCATATATTGTAGAAAAAGAAATTTGCACTAATGGACTCCAAACTGAAGAAGAAAAACAAAGATGAGAACAAATGTAAGATTTGAAACCACACTCGACTGGCCAGTTACACTTTTTGAGACCTAAGCCTCTTTAAGGAGCTTTGTAGCTCTCTTATTAGCTTCAGTGATGCGAATCTCATTAGATGTAGCCTGCAAAAACAAGGCAGATTATTCAATGTTATTAATGGAAATGTTAGTGACTGCTTATCTGAAACAGAACAATTTCATTAAGACACACAGGTTGGTTCAGTCAACAGAACGTCTGTCTGTCTGTCTGTCTGTCTGCCTGTCAGGCATGCAGTGGTAAGCTCCACAGTCTGCTGCCTGTTTTCATGCCCAGATTTCATCTAGTAACAAGTTCCCTGTGGGAGAATCTCTGTATAATTAGGGTAACTGCTAGATTGATATAGACATAATATAATTTGTGAAAGCAGACAAAAACGCTTTTGAGCAACTCGGCTAAAACTTGCTATGACTGCCAAATGATCTGGAACCTAGGTGCTTTTAATGCCAAATATTTTCATGACAGCCTACTTCAATAATATTCCTATAGCAGAATCTTTTATCTCCCTATCTTTGCTTATGCTATAATTAGGCTTTTTGTAATTACTTGTCGTAATTCCCTAAGAAACTTGAAATACCACTAGCCCTGAGGTTATGAAACTGTAACATTAGACATGCTAATTGGGTGAGCAGGCTAGTGTAAATTTGAGGAAATTAAAAACCATTTTCCTACTTGTATTTGGGGATATAAGATCGAAATGATTCTGATTAAACGCAGGATGACTTTCAATAGTCTTAACAGCATGACCTATTCACATAATCCACTTTTCTTGAAACCTCAAGTATCTGTTTGGTTCCGTTGCCTTCAGGACAACTAGGAGCTTACAGTATTACTGGAATTGGCCAGGGCACAGATGACTGAATAACTAATCTTGAACAACATGCATTGCAATCAATCAAAATCATACATTCCACAGCAAAGACACTCCAAACTGCATTTTTCAATTATTTTGCTCTTAAACTAAAGCCCAACTTCAAGGAGAATCAGCCAGTAGGTACAGAATCTCTTTGATGCATTGCTCAGTGAACGCCCACCTCTTTTCTCATTTATCAAGTACCAATCTAAGCTCAGGTCCCTGTAACTAGATAGTTCCTATCAATTACTTTAAACGCACCCTAAACTAATTAATATATGGTATTTCACAGGCAATTCTGTGTCAAAACAAGCCCCAAACTTCATGCTGCCTTATTACTGAGGAGACTTTTCAGCTTATCCATGAGGACCACGAAGATGACTACCAATGTGGGCATTGTGCAGATCCTGTTTAATTCTTGTACCTGAAACTTTCCACTTCTGTTGTCATTACACCAACAGGACAGAGAATATCAATTATCCTCTTAAGGGACAAGCAGACGAAATCATTGATTGGGAACTGGGTCAGCCTGACATTTTCTTGGATTAACACATGGAACAAAATAGATTTAATTTCACCAAAAAAAAAGAAGAACAAAAATTACCATGATTATGTTCCATTCTGTGAGTGGTGATAAAGAATCTCTTATGTTTTATTGCACTCTGTGAGTATTTTCTAGACAAATAACTGAATAATTTGAACCATTTTGGTAATGATTACCCTCTGAAAAATCTTGTGATTCATGGCATTCAGGCTTAAATCTGATCAATGTTTAAGTAGCAATCTGGTTAGGAAAGTATTCCTTAGCAATGGTGGTGAGGGACATTAAAGTGCCCCTTCTATCACAAGCAACCATTGGTTGCCTCTCCAGGACTGGGCTGGTGGAACTTATTGAGTATATGAAAGGTGTTCTGTACAATGCAGAGCAGTGAGAAAAACGTTACCTTCTGATTGATGCGATCAACCTGTCTGTTCTGTGAGTCGATCTCACTACCCATGTCAATAGCCATGTTACGGAGGTTGCCAATCATTCCGCTGACCTCGCTCACATTCTGTTCCATCTCATCTTCACGAGCATCGTTTGTGATCCTGGAACATACATGTACAAACAATGTTATCCTTCATATATATTCTCAAAAGTTATACATATAATTCACATTGATTATGACTTATGAGCCTTATTTAGAAGGGGGGTGGGGGTGGGAAAGTCTCATGTTTCTTGCTATATAGCATTCTCATCAAGGGATCCCAACATTTAGTGTTGGATCTTTGGAAGGGTTGGGGGGCGTCCTTTATGGTTCCTGCTCTAGTATTCTAATCTAGGTATCTGAAAATGAATAATTTTCAAGGTCCACTTAAAGGAAGCAATCAAATCCAATATTGACTGTCCATAAGTAACATCTGATATAGAAAGTCAAAGGTGTCATGTTCTAGAAAATCACTTTCCACAAGAAGCTTGGGCAGAAAAAAATGAGTAGTGCTAAAAATAGTGGGATAATGGAGTTAAACAGCTGCACCTGGAATGAACACTACTTTTAATTTCAACACTGTAAAATTTAATAATGATAATAATAATGAGTGAATGAGGTTTTACCCTGCTTTAAGCAATATTCCAGCAAATGGGCTTCACACATTGTACCCATGTCGGGAATCGAACCCGGGTCTTCGGCGTGACAAGCGAACCACTTTAACTACCTGACCGCCCCTAATAATAATGATGATGATGATGATATTTATATAGCACTGAAATTCACATCACTAAGGGACATGCTCAAAGCATTAGCAGCAAATATACATATAGCGTTGGACATGTGCAATGAATTTCTTGCTTCTTATGCATCTCTCATCATCCTAAAAACCTAAAACATGATACAGTAAATTGATTTTGAGAATCATTTTGCGTTCGTGGATGCAGCTGTGCAGTTGCTGTGGCAGCTATGTTGGTAATAGGATTCAAACATCTGAACAAAGTAAGCTTTTATCATTGGGGGGAACAAGTAAGTGGAATTTCACCTTTAATGGTCTAGGAGTTCCTGAACAGAAGATGCAGATGCTGATGACCAAGCAGGCCATGACAAAAGCACACTTGACCTTCAGTCAGGTGAGCGAAAACAAATTCAGTTTCTGATTAGAAATATGAAAACAGTTGAAGATAATGCCAAGTGAAATACCATGCTTGGGAAAATATTGTTGTGTCAACTTCAATGGTTTGCCATGTCATGTCAGGTTTCAGTTAAATCAAACTGTTCCTAGACATGTTACAACATTTTACATGTGTCCAGCTACAGTTCCTTATGAAGAAATAGGACAAGGTGTTTGTCACTGTGTTGGAATATTATGAAAGGTTGTGGGTCTCTCATTCCTGCCCAACTTAATTCTCTAAGCCCAGAAATCAATGCCAAAAAGCTCAAGCATGATGGTTTCACCATACAAACCTCACATAGATGATACAGCATTCTTGCTGAGAAAAGTTTGAATATTTTATTCCTACCCCTGCTTCAACTCTTTTCTGCCCCTTGTTGTCCTGGATTGCACAAGAATTTAAGTCTTTGATGCAATAATGAAGAAAGGAAATTAGTCTGTCTCAAAACCAAAGTAATTTCCTCATTGTGCACAGCTTTAATCATATATTTGTTAATGCTCTTAGAAAACCAACACATTTGTCAGCATTATGTTGGAACAGCTATTTTACAATAATTACTAATTTCCTGAAAATTGTTTTTGTTGTGAAAATCCAATCTAACAAACCACACATTGTCAGCTTTGAAAGAAATCCTACATACCGATACATGATACAGAGTTACTCAATCATCAACAAAGCCACACAGACCAGTCAGTATTATATATACAGAATCCGTGGCACAAATACCATAAAACTAGAAGCTAGAGGAATACGCAACACTTGTCTAAACCATATAGAATATGAGGAGGTATCCAAACATATTCAGCCAAGTATATATAGAACTAAAATACTGTTGTAAGCTTTCATTATTTTTTCAACATTGTCCCTTTACAGTTCAATGCACTCGTTCAATCTCTATTCCAGGTCAGTTATTCTTGTATAGAAGAAGGTCAAACCCTTGTCTGTCAGCCCACAGGGCACTAACATTTGACTATGTAGATATTCATGTATGATTCTTTCTATTGACCTACAAGAAGCCTGTTGTCTCCTCCGTCTGAATGAGTGTAATGCATCTCTTGTTTAGTACCAGCTAGGTTGTAGATGGCATCAATGGTTTTCTTGTGGTGCTAGGTGTGGGTCAACCTGACCGTGGGGCATTTTCCAAGCTGAAATTCCTTTACCCAAAGTGGCATATGATGGGTTGGCTTCCCCATAAACAGCATGCAGCTGTTCATCAATATTCTCTGGTGATTGACCCTTGAGGATAAAATATTTGATGACAGCTCTGTATTTTTCACCATTTCAATGCTAAAGAGTTTGATACCACTGAGTTGAAGTCAATTACAAGCATGTGACTGGATTGAAGCATGCCAAATTGTGAAGATGAGTGAGTGAGTGAGTGAGTGAGTGAGCGAGTTGGGTTTAATGCTGCTTTTAACATTATTCCAGTTATATCACGGCGTGTCAGCTTAATGTCGGAGGAAAGCCCGAAGTGATGCAGGTCTCAGATGTTTACCACTTCGGTGAAACCCACGAGCACCGCAATACCAGTATGAGTTGTCTCTCGTAAGCATAACAACAAAAACCACAAACTAGATGTGCCAGACTCAACATTTTCTGGTATCCCCTCGTAAATGCATCAGAGGAGAAATAATTTCTAGCACAGACGATAATTATAAGCTTTACCACATTGCCTCTTAAGCTTGTAATTAAGCTTGTGTTTATACTTTCATCCTTGCTGCTTATATTATCTCTGGGCAAAATTAAAATTTTCCACGGTTACAAATCAATAGTTCGAGTGATCTCAAAGTAATTTGGGAGCAACAGCAACATGACATCACAAGGCAACATCATAACAGACAATCACAAGGATGTTTAAAAAGGATGCATTGTCCATAACATCCCTTGGCTGAACTTGCAATACAGGATCAAAATTTCATACATTGTTCTGAATTTCATACTTTACAGACAAAAGCTTTCGTGTGTAAAAACAAGAGATTAAGGTGAGGTAGTTGAGAGCATGATTAATTTGGGTTACAATCAAACACATTCAGTAAAGTAACGGAGCTTGACCATCCCGTCCACATTTTATTCATCTCTTATTACAACATGAGGAACTTCGGATCTATTCTCTCAATAAGAAGTTGGGAATGCTGAACGTCATATAAGATTTTCTGCAGATAGGACTGAAGAGTCTGGACATAATACCACATGCAACACCCACATACACCTCCTATACTGCCTAGTCATCTGCATGTTTAGAGGGTGCATTTCTTGTTTTAACCCGCTCACTGAAAGTGAATAGTGAAAGTTAAGTAACCCATCTGTATAAGACATGTGTATAAGAAAAACAAAAGATTGGTACAAGCCAGCATATTGTAGCTCGGTAATACACTTTGTGTCACAGTCTGATTGTGGAACAGATCCCATCAACTCAAAATGTTGACGACTGGTCTCGATCATCATGCTTCAGATCTGCTACACTTGTCCAAGATACAGAATTGAGGGCAAACAGCCAATCAAATCACAAACCACATACACAGGGCTATTAATGTTAAAGTTTCTGGGCAGACCATTTGAATCGACTCCATGCAGCTCATCTGCATGCTTGACTGCCACATGTAATCCCATATTTGACTGATTACCACATTGCAGCCATGGCCTGGACAACGCAGTCACTGCAAGAATAGTAGGTGGTCATGTGCAGTGGAATTAGATGAAAACAGGTTCAACTTAAACTTGGTTGTCTAGAGACAGGCATCTGAAAGTCACACTGACATTGTCAGGTATGGTGGTGGTTAATTGATGGCCCATGGATGCTTCTACACATAGTCCATGGGCAGGTTGCAGGACAGTACTCTCCTTGACAACATGCGGGCGCTGCACTGTGCACACAACACTTGTACAAGTTTTGTCTCTCATCACTGTAGACTTCCAGCAGAACATTACAACATTATCACGGCCAACACTGATCCCCAATTTTTCCATGATGATGTCTCTTTAGTCAACATTCCAGAGCCATGCTAGATGAATTATACCTTGTTGCTTCAAGAAGAATGGGACAGGTTACCCCAAATAACCATTGGAGAGTTGATCAGGAGCATGCTCAATCGAATCAACAAATGCCTGTTGAATTGTGGTGGGTTTACCTATGTTTAATGGGTCCTAGGTAACACTGTTTGACCATCAGTTTCCTTCTTGGACATGAACTTGTGATGATCATTATTTGTCAAATCTGTTATCATTCTTGGACATCTCCGACTTATTTTTCACTGTATACTTTGACTCAGAATCAGGATGAGTAACCAACTTAAAGCTGACAACCGAACAAAGTACCACTGTCAACCAAAATATAAGGGAAAAAAGAAAAAAGTTTTTCAACGATCAACACTTATAAATGATGACAGTGGTGGAACCGCAAAATAAAACACTAATCTTATTTCTTGTAGCACATAAGTTATTCCTAGTTTTCAAATAGGTCTTTACGCAGGATAATGTATATGTTAAAAAGATCGAAACCCCTGTAAATGGGTCAAGACATTTAAGATCAAAGCCATTGATTATATTGAATATGGTTTCCAATACAAAAGCATGAATATTTGTAAATAAAATATCCCCAACTGAGATGCAGCAATCTGAGATAGTTCTGACGGTGCTAACAGTTTGCTGCACAGCAAGTTTCAAATTTCTTCAAATTGACTTTGTGAAATAACATATCTTTTTAAAAACAAAGCAGGATTGGCTATATTCATTGGAAACTCCTCCACTGATATCCAAGCATATATCTATTGAGATCCTGTTGGGAAATACCCCTGGGATAACTGCTGGATGCGTTGCATAGATCATCAACTGGAAGGAGGAGCAAGCCGAATCTGGCTGGATTCAGGGGAGCTTGTTCCCATGTCCCATCCAATCTAGCCTTACAAGATGGCAATCTGACCTGCTGTATAAGCTGGGTTCCTTCTGA